ATCATGGCGGAACCTATGCTACAAAGGAGAAGGATGCACGAGCGAATGCTCCAAGTAACCAATGCCTGCAACCATGCGAAAGCATACATGCGGAACAGCCAGACAAAGATGGTGACAACTTTCGAGCTTGTTACGCTGTTGGTTTCAAGGCACTACATCACCCCCCCCCTCAAGAAGGGTGCTGTAGGAAACCTTCGACCAACAGGTACCTATCCTTCAATACTCAACGCGAGCCGGACATTGATTTCGGTAATGGTATGCCATGACTGAAACAACGACTTTATCAAACTACTGCATCGATTGAATAATATCACTAACCGTAGATCATCCGTTATGACTCGGTATGTTGTGGTATTAGAATGTAGCCCGCAGGTCACCTGCGGTGAATATCAGGTGGTTTATCGGATTTGCTATCGATTTCGTGAGTATTGATTGGTACATATCTTTTAGTTAACGTGTAAATTGATTCATCAGACTTGCTCTCAGTCCTCCTTGTAGTTCCGTGAATTGAGTAGTCCCTGACCAGAAGTCACCAAACCAGGGGAGAGGGGGAGCAAATAAATTATCGACTACTCAATCTGCCTGACGTATTGTCCGAGTTACACTATCAGCGATTTCATTCGCCGGATTCGTAGTGTTCTCCCCTACCAGCATCAGCCGGTGCACTGTCATATCTCATCACCACAGAGCACCACTGCAGCAAGGATACAATGATTTTATTTTAAATTTTTCTAAAACCGTCCATTGTGAACACTCCTCTGGAATACCCTTGTCGGTTTGGGAGGAATTATTTACGCTGCCGGCAAATTTAACGTGCTAGTCTAATCGCATGATGACAAGCGTGGCACGTCCCACTAGCAAACTATAATGGAAACAAATTTATTAACCGTACTTTGAAAATGCCTATCATCTCACCAAGGAACGGTTACCAAATGTACAACTTCGACCCCGGAGGTAATCTGTTTCTCACCAATATAGTCTGCTCTATCTGTTAAGGGACAATTTGATCGCTCAAAAACATCTATGCAGTTATGTAGTATGTAACTTATGTCTTACTCCCAAAAAACTACTTTCCATATTATTATCAATGAAAGGGTTCACGGTTTCGAATCTTCGCCTAATAATCCTATGCATATGCTTTCTCGGACTTTCCAAAATCAACCAGTATCTGCTGATCAGAGTTTGGAACCTGCTAAGCAATAGAAATAGCCTGATAGGACTGTTATTTCTGTCCAAAAGCTCACTGTCAGTGGACAGCTGTACCGGTAAATAGGTCCATAGGATAGAGTGGGTTAGGAGTAACAACCACTTTCATTCTGTGCATCCAATTTAGACACACACAGCATGGCGATGATGGAATGGTGTCAATTAGATATAATCAAATCGGTGTCCAAGCATTATGCACCTCTGGATACAAAACACTGAGAAATGTGCGACTTCCTCATCCAGCTGCCAGAGCACGTGCTGTGCAAATCACAGGGTCCCTATTTAGACTTCACCATATACTTAATATAACTTACCAAAGTAGTAGGCTCATTTTTTGAAATCTTGCCCGTATTGCGGCGAATCGAATACCTAACACGGTGCAGTTGATTATTCCACTTTTGCGTTAATATTACGTGCATTCTTGTGGACAACTCTTATCACTGTTTTCGCCTTGTACAGATGTTTATCCATTGTGCCTCACAGAAGAATGGCGGAAACTTCATTGCGGGAGAGCATAGAAAACAACTTATTACGTCTTAATTTACGATGGCGTCGATTACAATCCCATTGCGACCCTTCACAGCTGGATGAGAGTGAAATAAAAAACGAAACAATGTTTTCTTGACACGAGTTGGCTGCCAGCCTCGTATGAAGAAGCGAAAATGCACACGGACGTACGGTGTTCCACAAATCCGAATATTTCGAACGACTTTTTAGGAACGCGCCAACTTCCTCTTTGAATCCGTTCAGAATATTGTTCAGTTGAAGTACAACTTTGATCACGTCCTTGTGTTCACTGATCTGACGATGGAGCGGTTTGATTGGGGAACCGCCTGCATTCTGGGCGCGCATTGTATCCTCACCCTGTTGTTCTGCCATCCGATCCAATTCCTACGGACAGTTGGGAATAAAGAGAGTAAAGGTAATGACATGTTCATAATAAAGGACGATGTCGTATGTCACACGGCCGACTTTGTGTACAGACCCGATTATATCCAACGCATATGTCGATAGCACTGATGAAACCAACCATAGTGAGCACTCCAATAATGAATCACATACTGAGTAAGTCACGTATGCACTTTATTATACCCATGAGCTGTATCTTCAAGACTATAGAACCCATGAGGCACTGCCAGCCGTAAGAATCAGGCGGGCAAGATAGGGTACAAACAAGAATCCGTATACCTAGGTACGGGCATAGTGAAGTGTATGGTAGAGCTGGGTGGTGGAGGTGGGTGCACATTTGCTAATGTGTTGGTTTAGAGATGATCGTTGAGGGAAAAGTTCTCATAACCCAGTAAGCAGAACAGGTAAGCAAAATGAAACCACTAAAAGAGTGCAGACAACTCTTCTCTGGCTGGAAAGTCATACTATGCGTTTCGGGAAAGATAAAGAAATATCAAATATAAGATGCAGAGGAACAGGCGATGCTTTTAAAAGAGCCCATAGACCTAACTGAAGGCAGCTACAACATGGTCGGACCAGATAAAATGTTGGTTGAACAGTAAACGAAAGATTTGAAAGCGATGCGTTTATGCGGAGCGATGTATTGTTGAGTAATATTTCAGAGAGCACATTCAGGGAGATATTGATTTACAAATGGATTGAGTTCTGCATACCGTGCTTCCACTTTGAAAATACCATTTTGAATCAAGGGAAAAACGGAATTGGGTGATGAATGGGTTATCATCAAGGACGGGTATGACAGAGAAATAAACGAGAGTGGAGCAATAATCACAACAACTACACACAAGAGGACGAAACAACGAGATTGGCAAGAAGGGGAAGGCGTTTGATTCTATTTATGCGACGGATGAATCATTTTGGTCAAGAATACAAATTCTAACTGGTGTGAACTTTCTGTCCGCGGAGGATAGTACATGGTGAGTTAATGAAGCTAGGGAGGTGATGAAACGGGTGTGTTATATGCCGAAGCGAGCGAGCATTTTTGAAAACTTTCCGGATAGAAGCTGTACAGGTAATAGGTCGAAATGAAGATAAAGCTTTCTAAAGAACGTGCACTTTCTTCCGAAGTACTGAGGAACATTCTGGGTGTCGCTCATTGATCGAATAGGCTTGACAAAACTGGTGGTGTGGTTCCAGTATAATTATTCAGCAGTAAAAGTTGAAGATCGTTAGGGTAGTTAGCTTATTCGAATTTCTGGACAGACTTACTTTGAAAACATTGGTGGGTTCGACGAAGTCTTGGGGGCACACTTTCTAAAAACCACTCAGAAAACTGCGGACCAACTCTATTGCTGATGCATTAGTTCAGCTTTTCAACACCAGTTGGTTTTTACAAAAATCTGCAAAGTCCCACCTGACAACTCAAGACCTATGGGATTTCAGACATCACTGCGGCTTGTTGACGCCTGATTCGGATACAAAACCAGTTCAAGCACTTAAATTTTCATTCGTGTTCCAGGAACGAATACATCACCAGCAATCACGGTAACAGCTGCAGAACACTGTGAAGCGCAAAATACGGCTTCTAAATATTCCTCTCTCTTCCTGCGTGTGTGTTTGCGTGGATGCGTTTCCTCAAACCCACATCGAGTAAACAATTAATTGCCTCCAGGTGAATTACCATTCTTAAAGTGTTGCTTCCGATATCTACTAATGCATATGCTCCAAAATCAATTCACCCAAAATACGTCTTGGTCCGAATCCTGCGTTTTACAGGTTTGTTAGGCTTCGCAATATAGCAGCTAGCGATAATGGTATCTTGAATACCGAAACAGTAGTAAGTTTTGGAAAAACCAAAGTGTTTCCACGGTGAATCTGAATTGTTCACAACCCCCTACTTCGCATCACATTGTTGCAAACTGTTCATAATGGAAGTTAGAGCCAAGATGCAAGACAGTTGTGTGTATGTCGAACGATCCAAAGGGATAATTTTCTATCCGGTTAGTATTGTTGTATTTCACCAGTATGAGGTCCCGAATTCGGACGGTGGATGCTGCTCAATGAGGTTTGAAGTGCGATTTTTTTCTTATATTGCACTGGTTACGGATTCGCACTTAGCCATCAATGACATCCTTCAGCTGTATTGAAATCCACAAAGATATATGCAATTTGATTGCGAATTTCGTCATGAACAGAGCAAATGAAACGTGAACTGTTTCGACTATATTGGATGGGTCTCATCAGCAGTGCTCTAATCTATCAAATCAACTGAGCATCGAATGTGGAACTCCGAACGTATGGAACACAAGTGCACCGCCCGCATGACCTCCAGGCGGAAACCAAAAGCATACATACCCAAAGGTGTTTTCTACTAGAGACAAAAATATTAAACAATAGCGACTCACTTTTTGATGTTGCATTTGACTCAGTATCATGTGATCCCACACCTTTATTCCTTCGGAGGTGCGCAAAATCAGATTGATTGCTTTCTGCAGGCCGGTTTGGATCTCCTCCAGGGACGGTTGCATCACCACATTTGGGATGGCCAAGTTTAGGCTCACTTCAAGTAACGGGACTCGTGATTGCTCTTCCTGTCCAGACCAGTCACGTTTGTATTTGGACGCATTGATTTGCATACGCGATTTGATCGCCTCTAGCGTTCTTTTGGTGCCTGGTGGAACAGAACGATTTCGAGTTTCATTTAGTTCTTCAGACATGATAAGCGTGAAAAAACTGTCACCATGGTTTTAATTATTGTGTTCTTATTGATTGAAATTATAGATGAAGAAGTATATGTAGAAATCGCACAAAACAGAGGAAATTGAGTATCAACTCAACGTTATAGATCAGTTTGGAAAATTCAGAGCTCATAATCCGCATTGTCTTTACATGAAACTAGCATGATTAAAGCCGTGTGTCCTATATCGGTCCAGTTACTCCTGGGCAGATAAAGTACATAGGTCACTGAACTACACCTTTTCCCATCAAGCTTTAGCCAAAACCCACATTCCTTTAGCCGTGACCTACATTCCTTTAGCCAAAACCCACAATCCTTTAGCCTTGACCTACATTCCTTTAGCCAAAACCCACATTCCTTTAGCCTTCACCTACATTCCTTTAGCCAAAACCCAAAATGCTTTAGCCACGACCCGCAGTCCTGTAGCCTCGACGCACAACCTTTGGTCACACCGCTGTAGGCGAGTCAGAACAAAAACTATCGGTATATTCTGAGGTCAAGGTTAGAGGATTGTGGCTGTCGGCTGAAGCATGAATTACGTCATATGTAGTTTGAGAAGTCTGTGGCAATTCACGATTTGAACAAGATCAGTTAGCATGTTTTCAATGGTTTCCTATCAAGCTGCTCTACACTAATCGCTGCTGAGCAACCGGGTGTCCCAGTAGTTTTTATCTTTAACAATGCGCCCGTTCATCGGAGAGCTTTGGATGCGCAGTTAAATGCCAACCACCATGTCCGATTTCTCCCACCATATAGTCCCTTTTCAATCCATTGGAAGAGGTCTTCAGTAAATTCAAACAGGTGAGAGATTTTATTCTTTTAATTCCCTTATCATCTAGTACAATAAAAACTGGTTCACTGAAAACACTGAAGCCATACGAGATGTACCAAATGGTTTGACGATACGGGCACATCGTCTAAACCTACTCCAATCACTATGTGGTGCGGCATTTGATACCGTTACTACAGTCAACTGCGCGGCATACGATCGTCACACCTTCTCATTTATTAGTCAAGCTTTGCAATATGAAAATTTGTAAAATATAATGTTTTTCAACATTCGTTGACCTCAGAATATACCGATAGTTTTTGTTCTGACTCGCCTACAGCGGTGTGACCAAAGGTTGTGCGTCGAGGCTACAGGACTGCGGGTCGTGGCTAAAGCATTTTGGGTTTTGGCTAAAGGAATGTAGGTGAAGGCTAAAGGATTGTGGGTTTTGGCTAAAGGAATGTAGGTCAAGGCTAAAGGAATGTGGGTTTTGGCTAAAGGAATGTAGGTCAAGGCTAAAGGATTGTGGGTTTTGGCTAAAGCATTTCGGGTTTTGGCTAAAGGATTGCGGATCGAGGCTAAAGCATTGCGGGTTTTGGCTAAAGCTTGATGGGAAAAGGTGTAGAACGGGCTATTTGTAATTTTGAAAAAGTTAAACATGCAGAAAGTATAGATTGACTAACACTGCATTGAGTAATATTCATGTAGCCGACAGAAATCCTGGTCACCTGCAGTCCCACGATAGTTAGCCATTATCCATTGCACGACAAGTGGCTACCTTACTTTCAATCTCACTTTGTCAAATGAATTTACTCCCATCATCACCATGTCTCACCAACTGCGTGTTACCAGTTGTTTAAATATCAAATATGCTCAACACACTCCGCATGTCCAGCGCGTTTGCAAACCACAAATCACCGAATCACTCTCATCCGGCTGGTCCTTGGATCAACTCATTTTCTACCGTTTCGTGGGACTGGCACCCTGTTGTAGATGTATATATAGACATGCAGCCGTGGAACTTGGAAACAGTCTGTAGTTGGAGCAGTTTCCACCATCGATAACTTCGTTTTAACGCTTTTGGTGCCATTATACCCTTGGCCTAGCCCTAAGCTAGCGAAGATCTCTTTAAGGCCTCTTGGGCTAAATGACCCTCTCGTGCTCAAACCACTCACCTCCACATACAAACACGTGCTTTCTGCATCAGCTAATGGATTCACGCAAACTCTAGCGGCCGCATAAATTTGTTGCTCACCGAGGCACTTGATCGTGATGTAATGAACCGCGTTAGCGTATCTTGTTGAAGCACGACCAATATGGCGTTAAACTATCCGCGTACCTAATCGGCCCAATCAACGTGATTCAGTCACCACGTCCATGCTGTGGACATTGTTGATCAAGTTTAACCGAGCCCCTATGCGTGCACTGACCGAGCTTCCCGAGAAGTTATCTCATAACCGTGTGTG